CACTAGGTTTCGGACGGAAAGCGATTTATCACTTGGAAAAGGTCCGCCTTGAATATGAAAAATTAACTTTGGCATTTTTGAAAGTTAAACGAGTTTATGATCACCACTGGAACCGCAAAACTGTCCCTAGAGATCTTCGAAACCTATCCGATACTGGAGGCTAAACGATAAAATGATTTCTTTTACTTCATCCTGTTCATCATACCAGAGGAAAAAAACTTAAGCATTGGTTTTGGAAAATTTTGTTTCGTTGCTGAGAATAAGAATTTTTTTGAACTCGGTAAAAAAAGTAAGGATATACACGCGTATTTTGCCATTTTCTCCGTCAAATCTCAATTCTTTTGCAAAATCAGTGTCATATTCAAAAGAAAATTAGCGTCAAAAATTGAGTTGTATGAGATGTGTTCGGAATTTTTGAATAATTCTGATTTGTTTTCACTTTCTAGATCAAAATCTTTTGCTGACGATTTTAGCTTTCAGAAGTCTTAAAGTTAATTTTTCATAGTCAGTTTTAGATGAAAACTCAGAAAAAAATAGTTTGGAAAAAATTTTGAAAAAAATAATAAGTGAACAAATTTTCCTTATTTTTCAAAAAGAACAATAATCTTTCTCTCTTTTTCAATTGTGAACATCTTAATTCTGCTTTTGGAACTGATACATACATATACTACATAATAGAAAGAGGAAATAAAATGACTTTTATACGGATCTGGTTACAAAAATCCGGAAGTTAGAATGCTTGTGTGTGTTATATTTGTATTAATAGAAATCTATTTTGAATAAAGTGGAGCAAAGGAACAAAGCGAACTTTTGAAAATGAAGCGTCTTTCTTCAAAGAACCATTGATTACATGAAAAATGTAGATAGGATACAAAATGAGATCATAAATGTACATAATACAGAACTTATAATTAGACTTTGATTCGGCTTATTAGCAGTGAGAAATATCCACTAATTGTTAGAATGATTAAAAAAACATGAACGTTTTGTCTTCGTTTTTTTTTTAAACAGCATGAAAAATCTTTAATTTTATATCATTAAAAAAAAGAAAAAAAATATTATCATCTAAATAAACGTAAGTGCTATCAACACTACTATACTTTAGATTTATCTATTTGATGTTTATCTGTGAAGTTGGACACTATATTGGTCAAATTACAAATGTAAAATAATTATCTTCACTTTAATGACATGATAGTTCAAAGTAACGATAAAAAAACGATTAAAATTGTAGTCATCATTTAAAAACATGATTTCTATTTAAAAGTTGAATGATAATAATTTACTTTATTTTTGTTTGATATAATTAAGTTCGTACAGAACTTAATTATCTCAAACAACTTGTTAGAACTTGTAAGAAGAGAATGGTTAACATAAACCTAAAAGTTTAAAAACAAAATTTCTGAACGAGAGAACGTGAACGCTTTTCATCCAAACCTGTTACACAAACACTTTCTTTCTCTTCTTTCATCTTTTATTTCTTCTCTTTGTTTTTTGAACTAGACCTAATGAAACTTCTTGTAACCAAGAACTTGACTTCTTGAATTTTTTCAATAAGATCTTGATTAAAAAATATAAGAATTCAAAATGTCAAGATCTTAAACATCTTGTAATTGCTTGATTTCTTGTATAAAAATCTTGAAAATTCTTGAATCATCATTTTGTTTTATACTCTTGTGTCAATATAAGTGCCAATATTTTCACACTTCGAATAACTTTGAATTTATTTTCGTTCTTGAGTAGAGTTATTTAAGAAAAAAAGAATCTATGACTCTATGTGATCGTATATCCGATGGCTATGACTGTCATAAATAAACACAAAATGTAAAGAAATTATTTTTTCACTCAGATTCTCCCAATAGCTTCAGTGGATTTACTCAAAATCTTGAAATTTCTGTTCCCAATATTTAAGAGAAAGATTTAAGAATCCAAAATCTTGACTTCTTGGTGTTTTTTTCCAAGATTTTGGGTACTGGAAGTTCCACTAGGGTAGAGTAACACCTTGCAAAATAGCTTTTTCGAACTATGTACAGGAAAACTTTAGTCGTAAGAAAATATGATCTTTGACAACATTTTTGATTCAAAACCTCAATTTCTTTATTTACTATTATATAGAATAGATGTTTCACAGAATCTAAATGCTAATCATTTTTTAGAATTAAATCAAATTGAATTTTATTTTTTTTATTTGAGAGATTGTGCCAGTTAAGAAAATCGTAAATAAAGGAGGAAAATTTTGCTTCTACATAGGCGTTTGGTCCATTAAATCTCTTAAAATCAAGACATTTTCAGTAAACCCCTCTCCTCTTCCCAGAATAGAAGGCCATGGCCTTCTATTATGTTTTCTCACATCACACTTTTTTCGGTGAAAAACTTTTGAAGCGTTTTTCAAAAATTTTCGCTCCAAACACTGGCCTTCTATTTTGTGGTGGCGGATTATTGCGAAAGCTATTTTAAATACACGTTCTTTTTTTGTTTAGTACTTGAACTATGAAATTGTTTTAGATATTTTATTATAACAACTCGTTACTACCTTGATTTAATTATATTCTTCTAAATTCGAACGACTCTATTTTTTCTTTTCTTAATTAAGTTGTAATTATTTGATTAAATGAGCTTGTAACGGATTGTTTGATCTTCGATATTTATTTATTTATTTTTTCCTATTTTTTGCTATTCTCTTGTTTCTTTTTATTGTAAGCAAAACAGAAATCAATTAGTATCTTCAGTTATATAATTATTTCATCAAGTATTTTGTATATTTATTTTGTTAATGAGAAAAAGGTATTGAGGTGTATCATCATGGTTGATTACTAACGAAGGAGAAAAAGAAAAAGACGAGAAGAATGAAAGACGAGTGAAACAAATAGCATATTGTTCTATGAAAAGATGTTATAATTTGTTAAAAAAACAATAAAAACAAAAATATTGTCACAGTAATTAACGTTAATCACTGTACATCTTTTATCTTGTTTTTTCTTAATTATTTTCTAGATATAAAGTTCGATTAGGGTTAGAAGAAAAAACAACAACAACAAAAAAAAAAATAGAAAAATATGAAAATTCTGTTTTCTTATGTAAAGAGAATAGAAGGAGAAAAGAAAAAATCACTAATCATTATTACTATTGTATTTTGTACACTTTTCTAGTAAAAAGAGAAAATATTATAAAAATTCAAAAATAATAGCTATGAATTATTAATAATGGAACAATTACCATTTTTATGTAATGATTCTTTATTAAAAAATTCAAATTATATTAATTCTGTACCACCACCATTACCACCTGGTTATTTACAATTAACGGCATTATTTATTTATACTATTCTTAGTATATTAACTATTACAAGTAATATATTTGTATGTCTTGTCGTATTTTATTATCAACGTATGGTAACCGTAACAAATTTATTTATTGTTAATTTAGCTATTTCTGATCTTTTAATTGGAATATTTTGTATACCCATTGTACTTATTTCCGATTATTTACTATCTAATTGGCCATTTGGTACATTTATGTGTAAATATTTTAGTTTTGCTCAATCTGTTTGTGTTATGTGTACCGTATATACTCTTATTGCTATGTCTATTGATCGTTATTTAGCTGTTGTACATCCAATGAATCAATTAAAAATTACACAAGGACAATGTAAAAAATTATTAGCTCTTTTATGGTTATTTGCTATATCATTTTCTATACCTGTCTATATTGAAATGAATACAAGACGTGTTTGTTATAATCGTGGAAATAAAATTCATTTACAAACAATTTGTGAAGCAAATGGTATATCAAAATCATTACAAACAGCGTATAATATAACATCGATTATAATGATCTATTTTATACCATTAGTTGTATTATCTATTGTTTATATTCGATTAGGACAAGCATTAAATAAAAGTCGTGCACCTGGTGAAGCACATTCAGAAAGAGATGCTAAAATGGAAAAATCAAAACGAAAAGTATGTTTATTAAAAATGACAAAAAAAGAAAAATAAATGTTTTGTTTAAAAGAGACAAATAATAAGATTTTATTTTTAGGTTATAAAAATGTGTTGTGTCGTTGTTATTATGTTTGGTATTTGTTGGTTACCAATGCAAATATATATTAATATTTTAAGACAATTTTTAGAAGTTAAAGGCTATAAATACATTCCACATATTTATTTTGCATTTCATATAATGGCCATGTCTAATTCATGTATTAATCCATTCATTTATGGTGTAATGAGTTCAAAATTTCGAAATGGTTATATCTATTTTTTAAAATGTAAACAATGGTCATCTAAAAAAAAACCAAAACGTAGTTCAACAAAAATACATCTTGATCAACGATCATTTAAACTCTTATCAAATAGAACATCAGGAGTCGATTAAAAAATCAAATTTCTTTTATTAATTTTGTTTATTAATGTATTAAAAAAAAAAATTAGAGTTTATGAATCTATTAAACTCTAAGTATATTTCATATTGTATCACGTATATTATTCGAGCCAATAATTTTGATGAAAATAATTGATGATTGTTTTCAACTAAGGTCAATGATAGACAATCTAAGAGATAAATGTGAATATAGTGTACACCAATCGAGAATACAAAATGTATTACATCTTTCTATAATATATCGTCATTATTGTTAAGATGTATAAAAGTTAACCATTTGTATTATAATACACTTCTTATATATGACAATTTACAGTGATTAAAAAAAAATAATTTTAAATTTAAACTTTAATTCTTTTTCAATTGTTGTTAGGTTTTCTTAATGAGTTATTATTACATATTGTAACGTTCGCTCAATTTATTTTTGTTTTCTTCATCTTTTTGTTCCTTATCCTTATTATTTTTTTTTTCAAAATACATCTCAGGTTCATAGTCGGCACACATTCCTAATATATTGATGAATTATAAATATTTTGTTTATAAGTCATAATTTTTGTTTAGTTAGTTCAAAATTTAATAATATTTTCATCTTTTTATTATTCCCATTAAAAATCTGTTGAGCGTATACAATTGCTTTTTGTAATTTGTTATTTTTCATTCTTGTAGTATCTTGCTACACATATGTAATTGATGTTTCGATGTTTTAATTGTTATTGTGTAAAAGAAGCAAGGAAAAAGAAGAAATTAAATGTTAAAACATATCATGAGATTACCGATTAATAAGAGAAAAAGAAAAAAAATAATCATGTCTTTCACTATGGAAGATGTCAGAAGTGAAAAACAAAAAGAATATAAGGATGTGGAAGATCACATGTTCCCTAGACAAATATCTACTGGCTATTTGTTCTCGTGATTTCTCCTCTCCTAGGTCATCGGTTACTCGGAAAAAACCTCCTCAATCTTTTGCTCTTCTGGGACAAATGCTCTTTTAGAAGTTTTGCTTTTCAAAATATGTACGAGTACAAAGTTTATTATCTTGAGCAGCCGGGAGTAAAAATAATATTCATGTACACATCATAAAGAAATAGATTAACAGTACTCATATACACATATATTCGGCATGCAGACACACTTGCACAGATAAAATCCGAAAACAGTGGCTTTTGTTCGTAACTCTAAAATTTATTAAAACAGTCTAAATAACATCACTATTTTCTATGTAGTACATTGGAAAAAATATCTAGAGTATCAGACATGAGTACTGGTCAATGATTAGAACAGAAAACAGTTTATTGAAAAGTTCCTCGTTCCATGCAACTAACTCATTAAATAGTTTCTCTTTACTATACTATCTATCATGAATCTTGATATAGTGTACTATGATATATGTACTATCTATCATTCTTGATTCATGAATTCTTCGTCAATTATTATAGATTATGAAATCTTTTCTTTATCATACAAGAATATGTTCATAGAAGAGGAAAGAGAAGAAAATAAAGACTATTGAAGATAGAGTTATCAGATGGTTCGCATTTTTGGACAAATTCCGGATTTTTGAGTTTTTTCCACAAATTGTCCGGATTTTAAGTATTTTCTGCTTTTGCTGTTAAAAATTTGTTTAAACCAAGGAGGGAAAAGCAACAGTACACCACACCACAAGGCATTTTCCACTACACATCCACTGCACGTCTACTACACCCCACTACATATCTACTACACATTCATGACATGTAGTGAAAATTCGTAGAAGTGAGTAAGAGCGACAATAAAGTATTTCTAGTCGACTACATCAGTACTAATGCCTTGTCTTTTTGTATTTTTCCAATATAATAACCATTGTAAATCAGTACTCATTTTACTACAAAAGAACTTGTTTCTTAATGAAGTTTTGACTAGATAAATAAAATCTGAGAGGCATGTTCTCAGACATACACAAACTAAAAATCGGCAGAATAGACAAACATAAAAAGATTTCATTATACATAATCCAGAACAAGAGAAAGTGTAGTGTCACTATAATTAGCGTCAAGCTAATTGATAAAGAGTGTTTTCTCACTTTCTGTATTGAAAAAAACGGATCAGTTTAAAAAGAAACAAGTACATAAATAATATAGAGAAAAAAGTGTCCTAGGGTACTTTGAAATCTTTCTGCAAAACCAGAATTCTGCTCATAATTCTCAATTTCCTTCATCAGAACTCAACTTTTATGCAATAAAAATATCATATTCGGAATCAGGGCCAAAAATCGAGTTGACCAATGTGTATTTCCATCCCATCCGACTACTTTAGCTTTGTCGAATTTTCACGTTGAAAAATAAAAATTTTCATCAAAAAATGAAAATCAAGGAAAGTTTTCGAAATACACATTAATCAACTCAGTTTTTGATCCTGATTCCGAATATGATATCTTTATTGCATAAAATTGAGTTCTGATGAAGGAAATTGAGAATTACGATCAGAATTCTGACTTTGTAGAAATATTTCTATTGTCAAAGCACCCTAGGACACTTTTTTCTCTATATTATATATCAAGTTGTAGCTTGAGAAATTCTCTGTTAGATGAGGTATTGTCTGAAGTTTTCCGTTATGTCGTTATTTTAAAAATGGGACTTTAATCTGGTAAAGAAGACTAAATTAATGTTCATAGTACTAATTAGTTATTAACAGAAAGGAAAAAGCAAAAGTCTTTTCTTCCTTTCCGGGAAAAATGTCTTTTATGCACGGTTTTTTCCGGAATTATGCACGATTTGCTATTTTCCGTGCAATCTTTAGACTTTTTTGTGCACGGTTACAGAAAGGTGCACGGCAAAAAGACAGAAATGTGCACGGGCTTTCAAGGAGTAAAAAATATTTTTACGTTTTACATGCCGATGACCTAAACAAATAGGATGATCTACGAACAGACGTCTCGTTTAATACAAATGAGACTTATTGACTGAAATGTATGATAAATCTTAATCATTGGTGTAGAGTGAAGTTCATCTCTTTAAGAATTAATTCAACCCACACTGTTCTCAATACACTCTAAATATTTTTTCTTTAAACAAAAGTCATGTCAAGAAAAGTTTGGAGTTTTGTTAATAAATATTTACAAAAGATGATTTGGATGTTTATTTAAATCATAACAAAGTATCAAAATATCGAACGAAAAATGTGAAAGATGGCATTAAAGTTACATATCGTTGTTCGTCATGTGGAAAATATCCAGAATGTAGTTTTCAAGTTCGTGTATTATTTAATTCTCAAAATGAAATAATTGTGTCGGCAAGTGATACACATAATCATAAAAAAAGAGCTGATACAATTCGTGCTCCAAGTCCTGTTCGAGATATAGTATTAATATCAGTTGCAACTCGACTTACTCAAGCTCAAGTGAAACGTGCAGTACAAAATGAATACAATGGCCTAGTTTCAACTACTTAAGCTACAAATTTATTGAAATATCATCGTTCATTAACACAACCTTCAATGTAGTCGGTAGAGACCTGCAACCCGACCCGACCCGACCCTAGGATCGGGTTCGGGTTGAATATTTGACGACGCAATTTAAAATATAAATAATATTTTTAGCTTTGTATTACTGGTTGAAAGTTATCTCTACTGGAATTTCCAGTTGAAAGACTTGTTTCAGAACAACTGCATTCACTAAATCGATTAATGATTGCTTTCACATAAGAGCACATAAGAGAATGCTTCCTGCACTGAAATCAATGGCAATACATCCCTTACTGCTTTTTTTCAGTGTACTGTTTTAAACACTCGTACGTAGAAGACTTTACTATAATGCTCTCTACTTGCTATCTTAGTATTAGGTGATACTGACTGACCAATGAGAAAAAGGATGTGGTCATCATCTCGGTTAAGATAACCTATTAACAAAGTGTACTGAGGAATTTTCAATAGATTAACCTTTTAGACAAAATGACCAATCAGACGTCGTTCAAAATTTTTTTTTAAACTACGAGATTCTACAATATGCACCGAAAAACTTTTATCTAACAAGGCAAGTCTATATTCTTTCCCAAACACAGTTTTCTGGTGAGATTGTTTTCATCGGGTCGGGTCGGGTTCGGGTTCAGATTTTATCGGGTCGGGTCGGGTTCGGGTTAAGTTTTCTTAACCTGTGCAGGTCTCTAGTAGTCGGTTGATGATTTTAGACAATGGTACTTAAACGTGTTGCTATTCCTCCACTCCAAAGTTTACAGAATGTGTTTGTTCCGATATATGAAATAATATCATGTGACAATCTATTCGTATTTTTTTACAACTAGACAATTAATATCACTCGGTGCATTATCACGACTGGATGCTTCAAGTGGATGCTACGTTTAAGCTTAATTGGAATGAACTTCCAGTTCTTGTATTTGAATGTTCTGATGCTAATCGTAAATTTCATCCATTGAATTTAATAATCAAACGATAGGGTACAGATTAACCTCGTTCTTCAAAAACTGTGCACAGAAACATCTTCGTGCACCTTTCTGTAACTGTGCACAAAAAAAGTCAAAAGATTTTTTAGTGCACGGAATTAAACAGCAAACCGTGCATAATTCTGGAAAAAACCGTGCACAGAAAAATCCTCGTCCTTCCTTTCCTATAGTAAATATTCTCCGCACATTTCTCTATCGATCTAGATGAGAACCAAATTCTTACAATGAAAGAGGAACAGCCACGAAATTTTTTAATAGCAGCCCTGTGCTCAAAAATTTAACATCATTTTTTCAAGTAATTAATTTTTTTCTTAGCCAAATAATGTCAGCAAGCCGAAAAAACTTCAGAACATATACTTCAAAGTGTCTTCTACAATCCAGGAAATTTTTAAGGAAAATCTAAATGCTTCCCCCGTTAAAGTTCAGCCACTGGGCTAAAAGTTTTCAGCACTATAGTGCGCAACAAAGGATTTTCATCCATTTTTCTGGCTGAACAACGTAGAAGAATGGCTTCGTTGAAAATAGCATGTTGTGAGTTAGACTAATTATTCCACACCACTGTCCGTCTTCTGTGCTTACATCATACAGTAAAACTGTTACCACTTAACTCTTTGATATCTAAGCACATGTCTAAGAGAAAATTTTTATATTTTTAAAAGATGAGAAAGTTATGTGCCATATCAGTCCAATAATCTGTAAAGTAGAAGCATGACCTTCGAAATGCATTGAGCTAGAAGCACATCTATTGCTTGCTTCTAGTCATTACTCATGACCACTACAAAGTCACGAGTTTTTATTCTGCATTTCTGATCTGAATATCTGGCATATCTGGCAACTCTTATTGGGGAGCAAAGATCTAAATAGCTTTTTTTTCCGAGTGGCGGATGTCCTAGGAGAGGAAAAGTCCGGCGAGCAAATGTCCGGTAGGCATTTGTCTAGGGAGCATGTGACGGTATTCGAGAATTTTAACACATCTTAAAGGTTATTGAAGAACTGCAATCTCGTCTTATAGATTTTTTCAAAATCCTTAACGGCTTCTCTCCTTTATCTAGACTAAACCTTATCCAATACGACCAACATAGAAGATCAAGCCGTCTTAATCATTTGAGGACAGTAGAAACTCCCTATGCTAGAACAGAAACCGTTCTCCAATCATTTATCTGCTAAACAGCTCAAGACTGGAATTTAACCCTTCCCGAAGCTGCTGTTACATCACCCACAATAAAGTCGTTTAAAACAAAGCTCAAGAACTATTTTGCGCTTTAATCGTTTTAAAATAAGGTGGCACAGTTTATAGGTTCTCAGAACGTTTTTTGCCTTCTCAGTAGCATGCTTTTGTTTTTGTTAATGTAAAGATGTATATTTGTGTTCCTTTTTTGTTTTTACTATCTATCATCTACTTGTGGCTACTAAAGCATAAATCAATCAGTCAAATAAGAGAAGATCTGACTTATCGATATTTGGGATCGAGTTGACAGAATTGTTGTCTGCGTACCACTTAAAACATTTTTCTAGAATAGATGAATAAGGAACAAAGCGTTTAGAATGATGAAGACAATTAACAGAAAATCCTTTTTCGAACCATGCAGTACGATTAAAATTCAAAATTGTCTGTTAAAACAATAGTCTTCCACTGGATCCACTGGATAATCAATAGGACATTCTCATATTCAGAGTCCGCTCCATATTCTCGTTTTTCTGTTTTTCTTACACACTTTTCAGATCTTGAATAAATGTTTGAACCGTTTTAAGCATGTGTAATAAAAATGAGAGATTACATTTTCAGAGTAAGGGATTTACTCTTAATTTTGGAGTAAGATATTTATTCCCATTTTGAGAGTAAAAGGCTTACTCTCAGTTTTGTAGTTAGGAATTTACTCTCTTTTCAAAAGCAAGATATTTACATAGACTTCCATTTTTAGAGTAAAACATTTATTTTTTCTCTTTCTGTGTTTGATAGAAAATAAATTTCTGTCATGTAGGTAAATAATATAAGATAAGTAGAATAGACTTTATCATCACCTCAGTACATGTATTTTATATTATAAGGCTTTGTGTTGAAGTAAATAGAGTTAGACAGAAGGAAATTCAATCTTGCTTTAGAAGAAAACTGTTTAGAATATTTATTTTCTTTTTTTTAGTTTTACTCCAATTTTTAAAAGCATAAAAATTTACTCTGAAATTGACTTCCCCCTCCCCTCCCTCTGAGGTATCGGGGCGCCCTTGCATACACTGAGAGTAGGACACGACGAATATAGGGAGACGTAGAACCTGCAACAAGATACAATCGAATCATTGAAATCTGTTGTCTGATTTTCAATGTTGTTTTATTTATCATCACCGACTATCTGAGTTTTGATGAGAACCAGCACCCGAGAAATTAAATTAGGAAACCTTCTTGATTTGCTGGGAACCGCAAAATAGATTAAAGATGGGACGACTGATCGCTCTCGAAGATCAAAGTACTTCTGTCTTATTAAATTGATTGGCTGTACTAAAAGTAGGGAATAGAACTCATGATTATCAAAAAAGGATGATAAATGTTTTCCTAGATCGCGACACTGTTGATAATACTTAACTCCAATTCTTCCGGCTAGAGATGTGCACGAGTACCGTTTTCCTATGCGTATCCGACCCACGCCCGACTTAGGCCTAAAAATTTTCTCCTCTTCGTTTTTCAATTAAAAACTTTTGTTTTTCAGCTAGAGATGTCAAGTTACCATTACGTTCTCAAGTAACTCTTTTAAAACTTAATGTATTTTAGCTGAAATCTTGTATTTTTTCACTAAAATTTTTTGGTTTTCGCAGAGCTGGGCAAGTCAAGTCAATTCATGCCTGACTTGATCGAAAATGTTTTGAATGTCACTTGACTTGCGAGATATTTTTCCATGACCATGGCTGGACTCAAAATATTTTCATGTGAAATAATTTCTGGTAGGTGATTTTCATTTAAATTAGGCATTTTTTACTATGAAACAGAATTTCTGCAACTATAAAAACTGTCTCTTACTCAAAAGGCGCTAGCAAATTTTATTTTCTGCCTATTTTCTAACAAGACTTAACTTGACTTGGAGAAAAAATTTTCTTATCTCTACTTAACTTGCAAATTTTTTTAGTGATTTGACTTGACTTGTGATTTGCAAAACTTCTGACTTGCCCGACTCTGGATTTTCCACTAAAACCTTCCAGTTTTCGGATAAATTAAAAAGAACAGAACCTCTACCCGTAACTGCTCTACTCGTATCCGACTTGTGCCCGGCAACTTCGTATCCATATCCAACTTTCGAGTCGGGTCTGATTGCACACCTCTACTTCCAACCATAGCTCCTGCAAGATGATCTGCGAAAAAAAGTCATACACGTGTTAATACAATCACTATGTCAACCTGACAGGTGATAAACAATGTGGGTGTGAAACTTGATCATTGCGGACTTCCTCTAAAAATGGAAAACCATCGAGACCAATGACCAGCAAACTCAAGTTGACGTTTCAGCTAAGATCTTATCCAGTCAATTTGCTTTTGTTTCTCACGCTACATGTTCATTTATACGATGACATAGTGACGTATTAGAGAACATTGAGTACATTTCTTTTTAACTATTCGTAGTATCGTACTACTGTATTTCTTTTTTCGTATTCTATAATTATACTTTAAACTGATGACCAGAATGGGTTCTACCAGTAAAACAAATATAATAAAAAATAATGATATAGTAGACGAACAAAAAACAAAGAAAGGAAAGAAAAGCAAACAGTCGTGTACCCACCATAAGTTATTTGACTATCACCAGCAAAGAGAAAGAGGATAAGAATGAATTTGGCGGTGTTTTGATCTTGATTAGAAATGATTTAAAAGCGGAAAGAGTCTAATACGCTTGACAGATGTTTGTGCTGGATTTTAGTATTCTAGATCGTAGGAGTCTGTCTAATCAATTGAGTTAACGTTGTTCAAATTTTCATAGTTTTCAGATACATTGTCGATTAAGTATATTATTTGTATTCTAGGGCATTAAGAGACATTCTGCCATTACATCAACCACAGTGCCCCAAAAGTCGATCAAGTAAAATTTTTTGACCTATATTTTTTTCTATTTTTGGATTCTATGATCAAAACTGGGGTTATGAAAAAATTTTAAGGTCGTTTGGAGTTGATTTCGCCGATTTATAGAATTTATAAAATTAGGTGTATCGAAGATTTTCAAAAAAGTACCCTCCGTGATATTTTGCCTATAACTTCGTCAAACTTTATCCGTTCTATTCGAATGGCGTCTCATTCTAAAGTCCATCAAAAAATGAACAAAATCAGATGTTTCTAAACGTTTTCGACCGGAAACTGGATTTTTCAGAAGCCTACCATTTGAAAAATGACTAATTTTAAAAACAAAATTTTTTCAATAAAGTTTATTTTTCTGAATCCAGTAGATTTTCCGTAAAATGTAAGTCAGTGCGTTTTGTAGAGTGCACAATTCTCTATATAATGAGCTATAAAACTTTCTTTCGCAACCTCAGGAACACGTTGAAAAATTACTTGCAATTATTACCATCAAAGTAATTATATTATCATTTTTTTAAAAGTGCAATCTTTCATGAAAAAAGAGCACTTTTTATATTAAATCAAGTACGCTGATACAAGTGGTTATAGACAGACATATATTATAAATATTTCAATATTTTATTTGTCACCAGTACGTTTCCTCGATGACGAACGTTTTTTAGCCGGACGAACATCAGTCGTCGATCCAGCTCTTTTATCTGGTGACACTGCTCGGTTTCGAGAGCAAGCTGGAGGTGATGATTGTTCATTGCTAATTCCCATTGAATTTCTTAAATTATTTCTTTGCTCAGTCTCTTCAACTACCTGATTATCGTCAAATTCATCGTCATCTTCCTCCTCCATTTTATCTACAACTATTGTGTCTGTTTGCTTTTCACGTATCGCCTTCAAACGTGAAAAAAACGATCTGATCAGGCCAGGTTTTAAAAACTCGGCCGGTGTGAAATAGAATCTATCCTTCAACTCGTTCTTTCGTTGCATTTCAGCTAATACTTCCTCTGGTTTCCATCGAATTCTCTGTTATACACCCTCATCGAACTTCTCAGTGAGATATTGTATCTGAGATTCATTCAGACGTGACACTTTCGTTCTTTTGGCAATGCCCATCCTCTGTCAGGTGGTGTAATACGGTTTGTATCATCACCATCATCAAGTGTAGTCTCTTCTAATTGAAGACAAATCATTGATCTTACTCCAAT